GTGTAGGGAACAATGTAAGCATGAGAGTACTAATTGCCCTCACATGCCGCCAACTTGAATCCCGTATTAATATAGGAGATTAAAGATGTGCATAAAACTCACAAGTCACAAGCAATATACGACGTCGTTGTCTTTTGCAGTGCACGGTAGTAGAGCCGAGGGCTTATCCTGAGGTGGAAGCTACCGGAGCCCAGCATACTGCCTAACGGAGTGCCTGCGTGCACCCGGGTGTGACAGCGACGTTGCTTTCGACACCGGTGGGTGGAGCCCAGTCCTGCATATCTATGCCGATAATGCACAAGCTTTTTATGAAATGATTCTTAGCTTAAGTACTGTAGCTTTAAGTCAAATTATTTACTGTTATGATTTTTCTTGTTGTTAAGCGTAGTAGTCCCATCTTTCTTGCAATTCCAGTCATTGCTCTGTTCTTCAACAGCCTCCTTTAACTGTTCCTTTAACTGTAAAATACAATTCTCCTGCTCCAGTAATTTATCATTATTCTCTTTTAACTTCTTCCTTAGCTCTTCATTTTCTCTTAGTAACTTATCATACTGCACTTGGCTAACCACTGTTTGCACTGTACTTGGTGAGCCTGTTACAGATGTAGATGGTGTTACAGTAACCAGAGAAGTTGTTTGGGTCAACTTTCGTCTAACTGCCTGTTTTGCTGAAGTTCCCGGTTCTTGTTGTTTTTTCTCATGCTTGTACTTCTCATCACAATTAGCTATTAACATAGAAACTTCCTTCTCTCTGTTCATATGAGTGTACTTTTTAATTGTTCTATTTACAAGTATTCAGGGAGTTGCGTGCGGGACACATTCAGCATCTGTCTCTTATACACTGACTCCTGCATGAATTTTAAAACCACATGACCATTCAGCAAGTCTTCAGCATCAACAGGAATCTCTTTATACCGTTCTTCAAGCAAAAGTCGACATTTGCCTGTTGGTGCTGGGGGCATAAGCTTACAGTACGCTTCTTTGGCGGCATTATAAGAAAATCTACCAAGAAAAAAAATGAAAATATAATTAATTAGATAATTAATAAAATCAAAGTATAAATAATAATAATAGAAATAACAGCAACAACAACAACAATAATAATGGTATTTTAAAATACTGTAATATTATAAGAATTGTTGATTATTAAATGCATAATAAGGACCCATAATAAAAAAAACAATATTAGTTTATTGTAGTTTTATTTTTCTTTTGCTAACCCTACCCCCCCTCCTCCGGATTTCCCCAAGTGATTGGTTGGGGGGGGGGGGGGGGGTGATAACGTAATATTTTTTTTTTACGGGACCTAATCTATATATTTTTTTTTCATATAAAAATAACTGTATGTAGATCACTTACCAAAATGACAATCTTTATAATAATTGGCAAAGTGGTATTTTGCCAGAAGGATCAGTTCATAAAATATTCTAGAAAAAAAGACAGTTACATTTAATTTTATAATAAAAGCATAGAAACAAGAAGCAACAGAATAATATAGAACATTGAAAACCTAGCCTAGGCTCTGTCTCTTATACACATCTATTCTAAGAATTTAGGCAATCCTAACAATGCCCAATCAAATCACTAGATACCAGTCATGTGATCGTAACTAACAGCTAACACATCATTTACCAATAATTTTATTGAACTTATAATCTTCTAACATCACTAAAATCAATTAAATATTTAAAAAAAAAATTAATTCCTATGTATCTACTAAACATAAATTATCAATTCAAGTAACATATTTAACGATATTTGTCCTTTTAGAGGCTGAAATTCTATCACGGTCTAGGCTTACCTAGAATTATGGTATACATGACGTCGCGATCATTAGACGCCATTTTACACAAGCGATCGTAAATTATAGCAGATTTTACTGCTTACAAAAACCACTTGGCTGTGGTCAGAATTCTTTTATATTTGGTCAAAATGTTAATTACTTATCTTTGTAAATTACTGTTATAATAATTAGAATTACCATGTAACTTTCTGACCACAAAAATGAATATTATACATCGCGGTCTAGCCCAGACTCTAGGCCTAGGTCTACCTAGCATTATAGTACCCTATACAGACGTCGCGATCATTTTGACATTAGACGCCATTTTACCCAAGCGATCGTAAATCATAGCAGACTTTCCAGCTTACAAAAACCACTTGGTTGTGGTCAGAATTCTTTCATATTTGGTCAAAATGTTAATTACTTATTTCTCTAAATTACTGTTATAATAATTAGAAAAACCATGTACCTTTTTGACAGCAAAAGTTGATTTTATTCGAGTAGTAACTTCAGACGTCAACTGCAGCGGAAATAAACAATGAATGAACACAAAACAAATGCGTGACTGTTCTTTAACCTTTTGTCTGCCTAAAAATGCATGACATAATCGATGTTTAATCAGAAACGTAATTTTCACGATTTTTTTAAAACCCAACACCGTGAACCGGAAGTTCAAGGTCGCCGCGAACGTCTAACCAAAACAATCAAGTGTGACGTCACGCTTTGTAACGTACCTAGGCCTAGCCGGCGGCCTTATGCCTTGTCTAGGCTAGGGGCTAGGCCTATGTTATTGCTATGACTGAGAAACTTACCTGGACGCCAAACCTGGCACCAATTTCGGCATATACTTGTGCCTTTTTGACGTCGTTCTTATATTCTATGGAGCCTTTATTGTATAATATAGGAGCGAGCTCAATTTGCACTAGAATTGCCTCTAGGCCTAGGCCTAGTGTATCATTTTTTCAGAGAGAGCAGCAAGACTTCTGATTGGTCAGAAGTATTCAGGTTTCGAATCCGGTTTTAAAAAAAATCGCTCCAGGACCGACTCGTTCCGGTTGCCGGATGCCGGGCCCGGCCACCGGATGCCGAATCGGAGCAGATGTGAATAGAATACGTCTTCAGCATTGTAAGAATAGAAGTCCGATTTCTTAACCAGTACCGGAGCTGGAACCTGAACTGGAACCTGAACAGATGTGAAAGGGCCTTTAAGAGGAAACCATTTTGGTCCCGAAGGTGTCCACCTATAATAGGGCTACTACTGTAATTTCATTTATATTGTCAACAGATGGACGTGTTCTAGCTGGGAATGCACTTTCCTGCATTCTCGGGAGTGAGAATGCAGGAATAATTTAGTGAATGATGAAAGGACTCATGACATCAAAAAGTCCATCATATAATTGGAAAGCTCTTTTTTGAAAGGTAGAGTGGATGGGGGAATTCCTGAGTCTACATTTTTCTGAACACCCGGTGGTGGCACAAGCGGGGGGAGGGGAAAGGTGGGGAGAGCTCCCTATGTCGGGGAGAAAATCTACACTTAGTCGGGGAGAAAAAAATACAGTATATAGGCCTATGTATTTTCTACACATTAGTACAAATAAGCCTTTGAAACCTCTACATTTCATATTTTTCATATGTATTACAGTATATTGTTTATGAATCCCAAAAATGGCGACGTGGTTCTAAGGACTAGTTTATATTACACTACTACAACGGATTGAGCATCAAAATTATTATTTCTAACCTATTCCCACGATTCACCTGCCAATATCTGTGTGTTTAAAACTATGGTAAGAAATACTTCAGTCCATGTTTTTACACTGAACTTATCATTTGATGGATTTGGTTTTTCGATTTGACGCAAAAAGATCGGAATGAATTAATTGGTAATAAGATCAAAATAAAATCATATTTAATGTGATTTATTTTGTGTCATACTGTAAAATTGGAAAAAGATAGTAGATTTTTCGATTGGCATTTAACATGTACTTAAATATTACGTTATTATGACAAGTTTTGCAAAGGTTATGTTATATGCTGTACTAGTATTGATAGTGGCACCCGGCTGCATGTCAGGAAAGTGTCGGCCGTACAACCCGTTCAAGATAAACGGCACACAGACACCGAATACTACGATATACCCAAAACAATGTCATTGTTACTATTGTCAGCGTACTAGCAACCAAAAAGGACCAGTCACAACAAAATGGAACGTTAAAAAGGTTATTTGTAGACAGAAAGCATTTAAACGCATCCCAGAAGATATACCAGTTGATGTTCAGCAGTTAGACCTTTTTAAAAATTCCATCAGCAAACTGTCGTCTGGTGAAATGATCAACTTTAAAGAACTAAAATTTTTAGATTTGTCTTTTAATGATCTACAGGATAGTAATATAGGGGACCATTTTTTTGATTGTCTCACTAAATTGAACAAGTTGAACTTGGATAACAATTATGCAATTAATCACATACCAATCGTTTGGTTTCAGAAATTAGTGGCGTTGGAAATTCTAAACATTAGATATTCAGCCGTCAAAACTCTACAACGTGGAGTATTCAAACATTGCGGTAATTTAACTAGGATATATTTGACGGGAAACAATTTAGTGTCTCTGCCTCCTGATTTATTCCGAAACCAACCTGTTCTAAGAATTGTTGATGTTTCACATAGCAGTATAAATGCTATACAGGATGAAGTATTTCGTGGTTCACCAGAGATAAATTATTTCTTTCTACATTATAATAAGGTAACAACAATAAGTCGAAATATGGGTCTACAGAATTTGACCAAGTTAATTCAGATCGGAGTTTGGCAAAACCCGCTTGTCTGTGATTGTAACTTGGTATGGTTTCGTCACTGGATAAACCAAACCAATGCAACATTGATAGAACTCGATAAAACTAAGTGTAGAAACACGAATGGTACAAGTCTAGTTAACTTTGATGCAGATTCGTTGATATGCATTGAGCATGACTTTACAAAACCTGTCCTCATTGCCACATTTTGCTCAGCAGGTTGCCTAACCGTTCTTGGTACATTACTTTATGTTTTCCGGTGGGATATCAGGTATACTTAGTATATTATAAAGTATATGAAACTATGGTGATGCTTGTCAAATTCAATACCATTCAATAATGTATACTAATGCCCAAATGGTTTCTATTGACTTGTCACTCAATCACTGTGATTTTTGGAAATTCTTTAAATTCAAGTAAAATAATTGCTCACAAACAAATCATATTCGAATATGCCACACCTATTTGGGACGGTGGTCTCTCCAAGGCGTAGTTTGATCGACTTCAGAGAGACCTGCTCGTTGGTCGTCTGCGGCTTGGGACAAATTTTCTGACGTTCGAAACAGGTCTGGCTTTCTGGGCATAGTGGATCATAGCGTGTGTGTGGGTGTGTGTGGGTGTTATTGTGTATGTGTTTTTATATTTGAGAAGTTAAGAACATTAAAGGGTGGTGCACACCATTTTAAAGGGTGGATACATTTTTGGTACCTTACTACTTATGGTGTCGGATACGACGCGGTATGGCCCGTGTTTCACAATTTAAATTTCATTTACTCCATACATTTAATTTAATTTATTAATGCAAACAATATAATGTACACTTAAATTATGAAGAAACAGAAAAATTTTATGAAAACTAATACCAAGATGGAGTCCGTTATATATATACAAAGATGCGTACGCTAAGTGTTGATGTGGATAAAGATCGAGCAGGTCGAGTGTGTGTAGTCAGGAGCTATAAAGTTAGATGTTATAATTTTGTAATCATTGTCGAGTGCATGTTTGCTGTTGTGTTAAATACTAATTATAATAATTTAAAGTGGTAATTATTAGTTGTGTAAAAAATTTTTTAAAATAATCGGAGCCAACATAGTACTGATGTATTCCGACTACATTCTATCACGTATGTACGGTAATTCGCAGGAACAGGTGCTCTTCTAAAAAATCACTCCAATATGTTTTAGGAGAGAACATAGGGCCATGATCCAGTGAACAATCTGGGTAATGATGCAATGGACAAAGCAACCAGTCAATGGGATACCATTTTCTTTTCTCACTTCCTCGTCCTTAAATCATAAATGATATTTTTTGTGTTCATATGGTCAAAACGGTTTTGTGTTCATATGGTCAAAAATTGTTTGGCAATAATGGGCACACAGAAGTGGCCGGATGGGCAGTGCTACTATAAAATGTAACACCGCGCATAATATATAACACCAAAAATCGGAACAAGGGTGTTATAATGCAAGGTTGGCGACCAAAAAACTGCCTTCGTGACACATAACTAACTATGGGGAGGGTGGGTGGGTAAGCTTTTATTTATTTTTTTTTTAAAGAACATTATTACCTGAAACAACGATTGTGGAAGAATGCGATGCGTTTTACTAAAACCAAACGCCGCTAACTACCAATTCGAACAATGAATGCATGCCCGCATCATAAAAGCAAACCACTCGCGTTCACACTGTGCTCGACTGATTAGAACCTACTGGTCCCAAAAAATAAGTTTGTAAAACAAACTTCCATTTTTACCAAAATCCGACGATAGTTTTCATTTTAGTAGAGAGAACTGACCCAACAACCTAGCCTGCCACGGGTGTTAATTATCATATTTAGCTATCAAAAGCTAAGATCGGGACTATGCTGAAATGCTTCAATATTACAAATAACTCCAAAATAATGATCGTATCCTTGAGGGTACTGTGAAATTACGGTAGTCAATGTTACGTGCTGGCCTAAAGTTAAAGTCAGACTAGCCTGTACCGATTATCTTTTGGTTATACTCGCGCACGGCTGGTTACTCACAATTTTCTAGACGGTGCTATCTATGCCTACGGGTTCTCTCTAGAGTTTAACGCTATGTTCTCCGAATCAGATTGTATAATTCGTTGACTATTAAAATTTAGATAAAGAAAATAGCTTATCATAATAAAAGCAAAATACGCTTTAATTTGAAGTATTAGTTATAACTTATGATCGTCGAACTGTGTGTCTTCGTTCAATACAGCTACCATACTCGCGTATAAGACGAGGTTTAAAATAGAAAAATACGATCGAAAAACAGGGGTCGCCTTATATGTACGACGCATGACATAAACAATTTTAGATTGTATATTATATATTTATTTACTACTGAATAAAGCTACTAAAGTTTAAATTTACGCAATTTTAAATACGGAGAAATAAGATGCTGATGTTTAAAACTCATAAATGGTACGTATTTTGTAGGAAGATTGGTCTTGCATTTGGCTCCGTTTATAGGCAGATGCAATATCAAGACCATAAAAAGCAGAACAAATAGGAATTCAGACGATGAAGCAGGGGGTCATATACTCCCGACATACAAAAATTGTCCAAACATCTTCTCAAACTCGGGGGTCGTCGTACGCGAGTATACGGTATCTTGAGGTCAAGCGTGGCGCGCAACCATAATTGAGCATTGCTTGAAGATAACACCACGTGGATAAACAAGTAAGGCCTATTTAGAATCATCCATTTTTTAATCGCGGTAAAATTTCGTCTATAACGATTAACCGTTATTTGTCAGTCAGTAAAACTTTTACTGGGAAGGCAATGGTTTAGCATTAACATTTTTTTGAAATACAACAGAAATTCAGTATAAAAACGTGTTTCATAATAAATTAATGTAATTTCAATTAATAAATGTTGTTTTATCAATCACCGCTCATAAAAATAAAAAGAAAACGGACACTTCTCTGAATATAGCAATCGTCACGCATGTATGGTACTGAACGAGCCCTATCCACTAGCCGACCAGGGACCTTACTGAGTTCAGTTCACAGGTACCTACTTGGGCTTGCATTGAAGGTAGTGCCTCACGATGATATCCGATTGAACAAGTACTCTTCCCCATGGGAACATTGTGGAACTGTCTGTAGTTTGACACTTCTGTATTTATTGTTGTAACATTCTGAATAAAATATAATTAGTGCATATTTTTTGAGCGTGGCGCTAACATTGTAAGCGTGGTACAATCTTTGCTTATTTTCCCCAAGCGTGGCGGTTATTTCGTCGAGGTCCCGCCACGCTTAAGTATAGCTGGCGAGACCCCTGATGACTGGGTGGCTGACGTGAGGGCACAACTTGAACTGAGGCTATTGACACCAAAAGCAGCGGCAGCATTTGTGAAAGAAAACTTAGCCGGATATGCTCGAAAAGAAATTAACGGGCGAGGCAAGGAAGTTGGTGAAGATGCAGAGAAGATTCTCGCAGTTTTGCTGAGAGTGTTTGGAGATGGCAACACCCTACCACAGCTCCAGCAAAGGTTCTTTTCATACAAGCAGATGCCTCAGCAGGACCTATTAAGTTGTTCACTGGAACTGGTGAGTCTCTATGACAATATTGTTTCTCTTGATGGTGCCTATAGTGCATGCAGGGAAAGCTCTCTAAAAAGCAGATTGGCTGAAGCAGTCGTCGATGAAAACCTAAAGAGCTGTCTCTTATACACATCTAGATGTGTATAAGAGACAGATATAGGCCTAACGAACATTAAAAATTCCCTTTTTGAGTTGAGCAACCAAATGTTGATTGACGTCTGTATACCCGCGTCTGTAAAGTTTTCTTGCCCTCGAGCATGAAGTAAAAAAAGTTGAATATATCGCCTGCCTTGCGTGAATTCTGTATTTAGGCATAGGGTGGAGGTAGGCACTCTTTATGGAGCGACGCTCTAGTTTTCTTTATGCTAATCATAAAGATGTAAGTGTAGCTGATTGGTTTACATTAAACCTCCAAACTAGCATAATATGACCACATCTTCATCTAATTTAACGAAAACAATAAGATACTTAATTAGGCAATTTAAAAAAAATAAAGTTCTCTCAAAGTATACCGAATTTACAATACACTGTAGTAAATGTGTTCTATGTTGTAAAAACTGTATTAAATTAACCAAAAAAAAATCTATCGATTAAAAAAATCTTTAGCTTGACATTAGGAATTAGTCATTTGTGAAACAAAATGATAGGCTATGTCAAGTGTTATATTAAACAGTGGTGGATTCAAGGGGGAGCCCAGTCAGCACGCCCCACCCCCACCCCCTAATTTTTTTCAAAATAAATAAAAATGGAGAAAACAAGACAAAATTGTATTCAACTTTTAATCTATGAGTGCCATTTCCGGCCATCTAGAGGTGCCATAATCATATTTTTTTTTCTTACCTCAGCCCCAACCGTCGTGGGGCTGAGGTGGGTAGGCATTCCATTGGCGCCAAACTCTCCCTGGGTCCCCTCTATTTCGACTTCCTGGACCAGCCACAGTTGGAGTATCATTTCCTGACTTCTATAGAAGGGTAATTTTTATCCATCGGGGGATAAGTGAAGGTTTCGCCAGGGAATACCCATATAAAGGATACCCCTCATGACAAATAATTCATTGAGATCGTGGAAGCAATCTCGACTTCAACTTTGTTCGGAAATCAGTGGCCGATTAAAGTTTGGTGGGGGAAAATATGGAGAAAATTATATTAAAATTTTAAAGTCTGAGTGCAATTACCGGCATTCTAGAGGTGCCATAATCACAAAGGTTCCTACCACAGCCCCATCATGGTTGGGTAATATATATCCTCAATCTGTGAAAGTATCCTCCTCCCCGCTGGACCCGCTCTATTTCGATTCCTGGATCCGCCACTGGAAATTACAACAATTATGAAGTGATATTACATTACCTTGATGCCTAAAATACTAACGAAATTCACCAAACTTCGTCAAATATCCGTAGCCCCTACCTGGGATGTACCCATACTGGACCTTATGAAATGCCACCCCCACCCCCCACTTTCAAAAGCGTTCCGCCGCCGTTTTGAATCTGATGTATAATTTAAATAAATTAAGAGTTTTTCATTCAAAATCACTGTAAAATATGTCTTTAAAATAATTCAAGACACAAAAAAAAACCCCAATAATTTATATTATTCATTGCATTATTCCGCTTGCTGTTTCTGGGTTTTCCCATATGCTTTTAGCTCGAATAAAGTGACTTCGATTTTCTACATCCAAGCCTTCGAATATTTCTTTCGTTTACCTCGTTAGCCTTAAGGAAATTAGGAAAAAGCCTGTTGCAGAGAACGATTATATTTTTTCTTAGGTATGTACAGTTAATAAAATAAATTTGCCTAATCACATTATAATTGTATCATCTCATAGGCTCTAAGTATCAAGTTATTATATTCAAATATGTAATTGTAAGGTAGGTAATCTGCCGTCGAATGTGGACTCTTCTTAGCACTCATTTACATACGGTAGTTTAACAATTATATGGCCATATTCAATGTTAGTAATGGTAGGCCTGTAGACCTACTAATCCGCAATTTTAAAATATTCTGCTGATATAAGTAATGAGGAAATAATTATATCCTGCAAAAAAAAAAGGGTGCACTGAAGTATTTATCACATCACAATATGTGTTATTTGGAATGCCGGAAATACACACTTGAACTTACACTAAGGTCACACTAACAGTATTTCAAATGCAGTGGCATCCTATTCGAAACTCGAAGAGTGTCTACTTCATCTTACTTTACATTACATAGGATATTAACAGCATTTTCTTAAAAATAAGAAGACTGGCGAGCAACCTTTTAACATGAACAGCAATTTCTGTTTGTATTCTACGTTGGTGTTTCTAGCAAACGTTGCATCAGTGAGTACTCCGCATAATTGTACCACGTATAACCCGCATCAAATCAACGGAACTCAAGCACTGAATACAACAATATGCCCCAAAGGGTGTACTTGCCACTACTGTCCGGATAAATTAGGCATATACATGGTTCATTATGTAAAGTGTAAACGAGCCAATCTTGAACGCATCCCTTCAGAAAATATACCGGTTGATGTTGGAGTTTTGCGCCTAGGACAGAATCATATCACTACTATTGCATCTAATGATACGAGCAATTTTCATGGAATGGTATCATTGTATTTGAATGATAATCAACTACAATATAATAATATAGATGATCATTCTTTTGATAACCTTACTAAGCTAACAATATTAAACCTCAACTATAACCGTGCTCTTTCACATTTAGCAAGAGCTTGGTTTCAGAAATTGGTGGGTTTGGAAATTCTTTACATTAGGTATTCTTCAGTCAAAACTCTCCAAAGGGGTATATTTAAGAATTGTGTTAATTTAAATAAAGTATATTTGTCTGGAAACCAGATAGCAAAGATTCCTAAAGATACATTTAGGGAATTGCGCTTTCTAAATATTGTCGATTTATCACACAATAATATAAATCATCTAAACGACGATATGTTTTTGGGCTCAAGAAAAATAAGTGGCTTTTTTGCAGAAAACAATCAACTAACGACAATAGGCCAACAGGTTGGAATTCAGAATTTGACCAAGTTATCTTTACTTGGATTTGGGTATAACCCTTTGATTTGTGATTGTAACCTTGTATGGTTTTGTCACTGGATAAAACAGACCAACGCAACACTGGTAGATCCCGATCAGCTTACGTGTGAAAACAAGAATGGAACAACTCTATTTGGTTTAGATACAGATCATATGCAATGTTATGGTGTTACGACAATTGTTATCATTGCAGCATGTTGCTCAGTCACTTTCGTCGCCGTTGTGTGTACAGTCATATATGTGTTTCGGTGGGATTTCAGGTAGGTATAATAATGCATTTCTTCAAACAATTATGACTTAAATCGGATTGTACGTGAAAATTAAAATCAAAATAAATTTGGAACTATTGTGATGTTTGTAAACTCAAATTTTAAAATGAGAGATATGTTGAATTTGGAAAAGAATACGAATTTAGAATGCTGGTGTTTGGAAGTCTTTAGTTTGTAAACCCTTTGTTTGTTGGCCCTAATTGCAAAATGGTATAATTGCACGTTTAAGAACGTAGTACACTTTCGGAAATGATAAGGGTATTGGTGGTGTACACGCGTGCGCCCGTTTAACAGTAAATGAAAAATATCAAAAGTGAGTGTTTGTAAATATTTTGGCCAGTCGATCTTGCAAACGTGAACGTAAAAAGACCAGAAACAAGAAACACATTGGGATGCTCTAAAAAGGCCAAACAGGTTGGCACGGAGGAGCAACACTACAGCCCAATTAAGTGCATGTGTTGCCAATGACAGGACATTTCAGAACAAACCTAAAGAGAAATGGCAAATGCAAAAAAAAAAAATATTAAACATGGAGCAGCATAATGTGCTGACAACCACCATTCTTAAGAGTCCTATTGAAGTAAAGCATAAGGTCAGACAGTAAACGTAAACACAAACAAAGCAATTTAACCTCTAGCACAATGTGCGAATGGAGCGCAATACACGGTAAGAAAACACTAAAAAGGGTATCTATTAAATATCAATATGGGCCTTATTCGGAAAGGCCAGCTACATTCGTTATCATAATTATGTATGTGCAAGATGAAGTATATGTTTTGAAATAGATACTGTAATAATAAGTGTCATCCAGAGTAAGCTAACAACAAAAGTAGACAAATAAATGATATGGAAAACATGGAGCAGCATATAATGTATGTATCATTAGAAACCACCAATTGATCAACATGTGCTGACTTCCAGTCTACGTTTTGTCTTAAATAGTAAGTAGCAAGGCAGTTCTACGCTGGCCCTTCATTGTGATTTTTTCAGAGTTTACAAGCAAATTGAGGAAGCTATATTCTGAACCTTCACCGTAATCGTAAAACTCCGGAGTTTACAAGCAACTTGAGGCAGCAATTTGCTGAACCTTCATGACATCATCAATTTGCTGAACCTTCATCACGACAAAAACAATGAAAGATATTAGCATCAAGTGAAGTGAAAAGTTGTCTTAGTGATGTATGCATCATTAGAAAAAAGCGCTGGAGCAATATGTGCTGACTTTGACTGGCACCCGTACAAAGTAGGAACCACAGTCACACGTTAAACAACTAGTTAAGAATCATGCAACTTAAGCTCCCGTCATGCGTTCAAGATACCGACGAGCCAACACAATGTTCACAATGCTCTATTAGACAAGATTATATGATACTGTGTGATGTATCGTTCAAGTTTATGCAAGTTAGTGGCACGTCCTACTCTGAAAATGTGGGTGTTGAGCCGCTTTGAGTCCAGGTTGGCGTGATGAGCTGCCTGATTTAAAACTGAGCATTTTGAAGCAGAAATAAGTGTCCTGGATTCCAGGGTCGTATGGACGTATTAGTTTGGCGCTCTTGCTAGGTATATTGGGCTTCCAGGTGTATTGCAAATGGAGGCGGTGTGCGCATATAATGTTTCAGTGACTGAAAGTTTGTTTGCATCTTAACTGCGTATCCGTTGTCGTCCGAGAGCATAAGTGTATGTTGAGTAGACTTGGTAACTACTGTTTCCTTATTGCTCTAGGAATGAACAGGGTCGTGCAGCCACCGGTACGGTTGGTCAGCTTTCAACCTGACCACTTTTTGTCAGACCACAAGTTAATTGATTAGGTTCTGAATAGGAAAAAAGGCTAAATTTCACCTGTTTGTTTAGACTCAACCTATTCCCTCTTGACATCAATCAGGTACCTGTGGTGAACGGTTAATGATAATTTACATTAGTTTCTTCTTATTAGATTTATAATAATTGATTAAGAAACTAGGAGGCATTCTTCTTTAGTTTAAACCAAGTGTCAGGGTTTGCTTTTATCCAAATCAAATAGGTCAAACTACCCACAGTGAGCTTTTGCAGAAATTCAGGATAAATATTCCCTTATACACTTGCCTAGGACTTATTCATCTCTTCACTAAATTGCTTCAACCATAGAGAAAGAAAATTTCAACTGACAAGAAACAACCATATGCCTTCATCTCTATATATATTTTAGTATGCAACATTATTTTCTGTAAATAAATATCTGTTAAATACGTGTATTGATTGAAAGTGTACGATGGTATTAGCAATATTATTTTTCGTTCATAGGTAGTTCATATTTTTGTCAATATCAAAAGGCAAACTACGAAAATAACAACGATGCTATGAGCAACAATCCCTCTAGAATGAACCTGCCTGGTTTAAATTCAAAGTATTTTTATTGTTTTGCTTCACCATAGCCCTGATGGTAGTTTAAAATATATTTTTATAAAAAAAAAAGAACATTTCTAAACTATTGTATTACAATACTACTGCAGAACATCATTAAAATCGGTCTTTACAATGCAAAAATAGCACTTTTTCCCGGGGCCTCCGGCCCCTGAACACCGGCCGGGGACCCTTGGTGGCCCCCAGGACCCCAGCCTTAGTGATAGCTTTGCTTGCAACCTCACCACTTCAATTCTCGTGGCTACGGCTCTGATGCATATAACAGTGAACAGGGCTCTGTAGAGCAATAGTATCCGTAATAGCTGGCAGTGATGTTCAAGAGACAAGTTGAGGACAGTGGATCCATTTGCTTTTATAGATGGTAGCAGTTCCTACTGATAAGATCCAAATTAGCTATCGTTTATTTACCTGAAGTTGTTTAGTTGCCCTATTTTCTGGTTTTGGTTTATTCCTTGCTCCTTTATAACAGTGCTTCTGTTTCCTGAAAACGTGAAAGAGCGTCACAAATTCTATTTTGCTTACTAGAAATATGTCTGGCAGTCACGTATGTTGTTGAGTAACAGTAGAGAGACGACGGATCGGACACCCACCAACCAGGATTTTCCATTCGATGAAGATTTTTTTTATTAAGTATTATTATACATCGTCAAGGTTATGGAAAACTACATGGGTGTTGGCTAGTTGGCTTGCAAAAGTCGAAAGCATGATACATATTGAGAAAATTTCGACGACCATAATGTCAAGGGTGGTCCAAGCTACGAGCCAGCGGCCTTGTATCCAAACATTTCGGTAACCGGCGCCACATGCAGTTTTGGATGCATCCGAATAGAAGTGTAGGCCCTGGTAGTCCAATATTTATGAAAGTATCTAGACATTGTTCGGATTATTTAACTTTTCTGAAAGAATGTACAGGCCATCAGAAAACATATTACAACAATTTTGGGCAGGAGGAAGAACTTTATCATATCGTATTGTCCTTTCCATGTAAAACCTGCAAAGTGATGTTGAGTGGGATGTAAAGGGATGAGTCTATATGCATCACTGATATCCTTCTTGTCTATGTATTTCCGAATTAAAAGCCTATTGCGGTTCGTATTTTGTCGTAAATAAACGTTTTAGAAAACTCTGAAATGTTGTGGTTGAGTCGATGACATATTATGGGTAGGAAAGATTGTGAATTACACAAAATTTCCCTGGTTCAGATTGAGGGCGAGGCTTTTGAGTTTTGCAGTTAGCTTTGTAGGTGGGGTTTCGTCGTGTGATGTTGCAGGGAAACGGAAGTCTGTTGCATTTGCGGATGGGCTGATTTCCCATGCACTAGAAGCATGAGTGACGATACTGACATTTGGGCTGTTCTGTCATGATAGGTGATGCAATAACCGAGTGGGACACGAAAATTATTTATTGGCGAGAACGAGACGACAGGGACACGATTAGTAAATGAGGGGAGGGGTGTTTTAGCCGAGCTGATGCCTGTCCGTAATTTATACAGGCGGCTTCCTGGCAAGACGGAACTGGTTATCATAAAAGGACCATGTACATAAGTGAGAGCGCATTGGCTTTTTGATATGTTCGTGCAAGCGTCCCTGGTGTACAAAAAGGTGTCTTGTATGTTATTCGGGTATATGGTGCCAATTGTGCTCACTAGGTTACGTACCTTTAGGCTTAGGAACCAATTCTAGGGCTCCACGAAATGACAGTGTCAGAGTTTTTGATTTGCGTAATATCTAGTAGGTCATGGAGCTCCACGAACTTGTGAGTTCTAATGTTGTTTTTATTTCTCTTACCTTAATCCCTCGGGAATTCTAATAGGATATTAAATTATTTTAAGTGAGGAAAGTACAATGTCAAGAGTCGAATTATTACTCAGGATCCTTGGAAAGGACTATACGATGTATGCTGTGTAAAGTAGACATGCCTATGCATATCGTGATGGAACATGTGGGTTTACGATGAATTTATTTTATTTTATTTATTTATTATTTATTTCAATTAAGTAAGAACTATACAATACTTAAAGTAGACATGGCAGTGTTAAATCGAGATGTAAGTTATGAGTTTACACTACAATAGTGCTCTGTACTGAGTATACGATGGATTTAAAAAAAATTATTTAATATTTTATTATTATTATTAGTATTTTTATTATTTTTTAAATTAACGAAGAACTACGATGTATGCTGTGGTAAAGATACAAAGTAGACATGCCAGTGCATATCAAGTAAAACCTGTGGGTTTACACCACAATACATTAGTACTCTATACTGACTATACTTTGAATTTTAATATTTTACTATATTTATTTATTTTTAAATTGATTTATTTATTTAATTAAAAGAAGAATATGATGTACGCTGTATAGGTGTAAGATACATAAAATAGACACGCCAGTGCATATCGAGATAAAACCTGCGAGTTTACACCACAATACAGTACAGTAGTACTCTATACTGAGAATACGATGAATTTAGTTGTTTATATATTTATTTATTTTTAATTAAGGAAGAAATGTACGATTTATGCTGTAAAGGTATTTTTGAACTGTGAGCTATTCCAAAAGTTAGACAGAAACTGGGACAGTGTTAGAGACC